GAAGCACCAGAGAAAGGACAGAGCCTGGCCATCTCAAAGTTAACGCCACACCCTCTCAGGAGCAGGACTTTGTTAAGCCATGCCTTAAAATATGACTGACCTTTGCAGCTGTTGCCATTTCCATTCCATTTCCAGATTTTTTTAAAGCCGCAAATGGTGGCGGGAATTGGTCCTATGCATTGGTTGTTGATTGGATGTTGAGATGTGGGCGGGGCACTCACTTGAGCTTGCGTGGGTGGAGTTTAAGAGGACTTAATTATTGGAGAAGCCTGCATATATCATTAGAGAGGAGTTTGTTGTTTTCACCAGAAGATCTAGATATAATGTTTTTATTAAAGGGGTCATATGATGTGATTTCATGTTTTCTTTTGTCTTTGGAGTGTTAAAAGCTGTTCATGCATACAGAAGATCCGTAAAGTCACAAAGATTAAAGTCTCAAACCTAAAGAGATATTCTTTATAAAAGTTAAGACTCGTCCACGCCCTCCTAAAACGCCTCGTTCAAACATGCCCCCACATGTCTACGTCACTGTGTGGGAAGATTTGCATAACACCGCCCAAATGTTCACGCAAAGAAAGAAGGCGTAACTTTTATTCTCGCTGTAGTATTGTTGCCACCTCCGCCATGTTGTGGAGACGCTGTGTATGTCATTGTGAAAGCGAAACTACTTTGTTTGGCCTTCCAAAAGAGGACACAACGAGAAATCAGTGGTTAAGTTGTATTTAAAACACTGTTCCAGAACAGTTCAACCCAAATATTCAGATGTGTGCAGCGCATTTTATGGAGGACTGCATCCTGAACCTGGGAGAGTAGCCTACAATGCTGTGCACAAAGGTTGTTTCTATAAAGTGGGGCAATTCCAACTTTGCAAGGACAGTCTGGCGCTTCTGACTCACAGACTGTAAGTACGTTTTCATATTTAAAGAATTTGCCACTGATGATTCAAACACGAGTTTTGAGCAGTGTAGAGTAGCGCTTGTTTTTGTCGTTTCTCCGATCACAAATGCAGACATGGTTTTGTTTACGCGCTGCAATACGCACCGCAACGCGTAAAAAGACAGTATAAGTCATTATAATCCGTAATTATGTCCCCACTGGATGCAACAAATGCCTTGTTTATAATGGGTTTTAATGTTTTTGTCTCGTCGCTCTGGCCGGACAGGGCAACACAATATGGTAAAATTTCCGTCACACGCATATGACCCCTTTTAACTTAAAACTTGAGTCCTCTATCCATAATATTGCTTTCTCTTCATCTCATCCCTAATCGGGAGAGAAATATGCACAGATCAAGCACAATTACAGGCAAAAACAGTACAATCAGTTCTAAACAAATATATCAATGGATTTATGTGTGAGAGGAAAACAGGGGATGGACTTCTTCACTCTAGGAAGTGTTATTTTGGATTATGTACTTGTATTTTGACCAGAAGTGACTGTTTAAAGTCAAAATGCCATTGATTATATTTTATTAATGTAATAAATGGTGTCTATTTGATTTTGATATTTAATATTTATTTCTAGAAAATAACAAATAAACAAAAATTCTAACTGTTTAGATATTGTAATAAGGGTGCAAAAATCGCAAACCTCATAAAACGGCTTGACCTAACAAAGAAAATAAGCATTTTTTTAGTTTCAGGCTGTGTTTTGTATCCTGAATGGAAAGTTGCTCAATGTATTCAGCAAAGTAACTGCAATCTGAATACCATCCTGATGACACCTAAGCATGTACTATTATTTTATGATTTATGACGTGAAAATATCACCTCCATCTCCACCACATCCCTCTTCTCACACATCCCCACCTCAGCGTCTGTCACCCACCTCAACACAGTGTGTTACTCCTGCATGTGAGAGCCGCTCTTTATCATCAGCACTGTCTGGTGGCTTACATGAAACAACTCAAATCTCCTGTTTTTACTGAATAGCACCCTTGTCTTATTCAGTATCATACCACCACATAAAGGATGTTCAGATCATCCCTGCATGTCATGAGTCATTTGTATTTCATGACTGTTTTTGAAATGAGCTGATTTGCACACTATATATCGTTACACTTGTTGTATTGGCATATTTGTCTGGCAGCCATTAGTCTGTCACACCAGTGTTGTCCTGCGCACACGGCGATAATTGCCTTCAGCTAGCAAATCCCCTGAAGCATTTAATGCTCTTTATGTTACGGAGGTGTTTCGCTTACATCTCGCTCCGGCCGAAATCATAACAAGTAGGAGCGGATTTGCACAGCGAGTGAAATTAAATAATGAAAATGGGTTTATAATTGCAGCGAGTGTAAACAAAGACCTCGAAAATCTCCATATGACTTTCTGTTTGAAGAGTCTAAGACAAGACCGCTTCAACATGCATTTTGATGCATTTCATATATCAAATATCACTTTTTATGTGTTATATTGGATATTCTTTGAGTTAGGATTCTTTTCTAGATATATATGGATGTAATATAATGGATTGCCAGTTAATAGTTGGTATTTTGTTCAGGAGTTGGTGTCTTTTGAGATATTTAGAAAGGTTAACTCGACATTAAAGAGACTGAGTCATAAAAATGTGCCTACAGGGCAGGAACAAAATCCACACAGACACCATGTAATCGCTGTATCGAATGGAAGAAAAGAGCTGGAATAGCAATAATTCCATACTGTGGGCTTCCGAGACTTAAAACGCAAGATGACAAACAGAGAAAAAAGGTGCAAGACAAAAACAGATCACCGCATATCTGAGTAAATGTATATGTGGTGAGAAAAAGACAGATATATAGTAGAAATGTCTGAGAAAATAGCAGAAGAGCAGAGGTTAAGCAATGAAAGCTCCTTAATCGAGAATAAGGTGTCAAAGTAAAATGCCATTTGAGAGGGAGGGTGATAGAGAGAGAGCGAGCGAGCGAGAGAGAGGGAATGAGAGGTATTCACGGTGAAGGATGCACACACACAGTCTGTGCAGGCGAGGACGGCACCTCATCTTTGGAGATTGTGACGATGCAGATTTAGCCAGAGCTGGTGTCTGTGTGATGTGATGAGAGACTGAGGACTAGGACTGAGACTGAACCTGAGGTTTGGCCATGTCTGAGTTCAAGTCTAGAGTGCGCTGTCGGAGAGCAGGTGTCCGTGCTGCCGCCGCTCTTATCGGACTCCTCCACCGTTCACGCAAGCGGTGTGAGAGACGGAGGTTGACGGAGACAGACGGCCAGTGGTGGGTGAACATCATCGTGGGTCATATATGTCTGTATGTGGTGGAGAGAGATATATGTGTGTGTGAGAGAGAGGTCAGAACATCCATGCATTATTTAAGTTTGTACTCAATGCAACACTGCTGTTCATGAATTAGTTTTTGGATTCTGTCACACAAAGTTTGGCTGGAAATGGAAACTCCAGGGCAATGTTTTGGAGGACTTGTACTCAATTAATTCTAGGCCGCATGTTCTGCACACTTTATGAGCAAGTTGTGCTTAGTGATTTTTGGTGCTCTCTGGCCAAAAAACAAGGGAATTTTTGGTAGCTTTATGATTTTATAAATAATATAGTTAATAGTAAGACTGTTTGATGAGGATTAGTGAAAACAAATTGTTCAGTGTTGTGTAGCAGCCAGGTTTTGTATCAGTACTTTACATGATTGTCATTTTGACATCTTAATTTGTAATATTATATTTTAGCATCATCAGTAGCATCTTGATTTCAGAATCGATATTTATTTCCTAGCAAACTGAGTAATGAGTATTTTTGAGAGGAAATGTGTTTCTATGGATTTTGGATGGATGGATGGATAGATAGATAGATAGATAGATAGATAGATAGTGAAATTACCCACAATCACTCTCGCTGAGTTTTCCAGGAAAGGTGTTTTCATGTTGACTGAAATGACAGACAATGTGACAATAAGCTGTTCACATCCTCGCAGAGGTGTGAAGATAATTCTCCTGGTCAGGATGTGTTGTTTACTTGGTATGGTGCCATTTATTGAGTATATTTCTGTGTGTGTGTGTGTGTGTGTGTGTGTGTGTGTGTGTGTGTGTGTGTGTGTGTGGTTTTTTGTCCAAATATGAGCTGAAGTATCAGAAGTTTTTGTGTGTGTATGTGCATGCAGACTGGATTATTTTGGCTAGAGTGTTGAGTATGTGAGCGAAATACCTTGTCAAGCATAATGAACGGTATGTCACTTGTTCCCTAATACGAATATATTGATGGATTTATGGGATCTATTTACAGAGAGCTTATGAAGGATTGGGTGGGTATTTTTAGAGCCTTGTTCATTTCTGTCTCTAACCTCTCCCTTGCTCCCCCTTCCTCTCTGTTTCTCTGTCCATACCTCACTTATGAAGAGGGAGGTGGAAAGCGAAGGAAAATTAATTTTGAGCAGGAGCCTCTACATCCTCAACCTGTCAGCCTCCTGTCCTGAGAACTCATTTAAAGAACAGATTGCCCATCTTTGGCCCATTTTTTATTGATGATCTTGAAATCATATGAGGGTCAAATAGGAGAGGTACATTCCTGAGGAGTGAAATGAGGCAATAGAAAGGCTTTCAGCGAGGATCCTCTCTGTGTGAAGACGACACTGCAGACAACCATACAAAATTCAATTGTCAGCTCTTAGAAGTGCACTTATAGTATCTTTTTTTATTATAGCCTACTTTATACTTTCGCTATTTTACTGACATTTAGAGGCAGTATTTAGCTACTGATGCCACATTGAAGAAATTCAAAGTCAGTCAGGTTAACTTGTTCCACCAATCAATAAATCAATCAATAAATGCATTCTTTTTTCACATTTAAACATTCATAAAGATGAGAAAGAATAATGAGTGCGCCTCAGACGTAGATCATAGATTAATGCATTAGGGAAACTATTCTGTTACTTTCTGTGTATTTCAGTACATTTGTAGCTGTATATTTGTTGCTTTAATGTTATTTTAAAAGTGTAAAATGACGGTGATGATGTCACTGTGTTGCAGGAAGCAGGAGTTGCTGACCATCTCCAATGTACCCCTGGCAGACTGCCCTCCTTCTCCCCCCAGAACCGCCCCTCCCACCATGAAGGTAAGCGGCACGTCTTTTTCTCAGGGCCTGTTATGAATCAGCACTGAAAGAAGATTTGCAGAGAGAGCTTACAGCTGCAAAAAGCAAATTGAGGCATGGTGTCAAGCCTCCAGATAACATTTCATAAATAGTTTATTATAAAGCCGCAATTATTGACTCATTTGGTTCACACAGATAAAACCGTCTTTCTTCTCTCTTTTCTGAAGACAAGACCCTAGCACAAACCTGTAGCTGGGGATGTGCCCTGCTTACTCAGTAGACCATGACTTCAGACATCATCCCCTAGGTAGTCTATACCTGTATGCTCCTCAGAGGAGGAAGAACGGAAAAGCAAACTCTCAAAATGCCTGTCACATTTTATAAGAATGCAAGAGTTTTTGAAAAATGCACTAAATGTACAATAGTCACATGTATAGTGGGATCAATTTTAGTTAGTCAACTTATTGCAGATGTTCTTATTTTATGTGAACATAAATTACAGCTTGCCACACAAAGACAACTACACTATTCCCTGCTGGTTATGTATAACATTAAGGGTCCCAATACAGAACCCTGAGGAACCTCAAAATGTTCTTTTTTTTTTTTTGATTACATGTTTATAACAGATTGTCAGACTAACTTGTGTTGGCCAGGCAAGATCCTTTGGCATTCTGTGAGATCAGCAGCTACAAAAGCAGTTGTATGAATATAACAGATTGTCGGATTAACTTGTGTCTTCTGGCATACTGTATACTCAGCAACAAAAATAGCAGATTGTGATATTTAGTGCTCTGAACTGACAGTAAGTGCTGCTTGCTGCAGCAATACACAAGGGATTACAAGACTCAACCACATTCATGTCATTCACACCTAGTAGACTGTAATGCGTGATGGCCTTGTTGTTGACATGCTAAATAGTGAAATACTTGCCATGTTATAGGTTAGCCAAAATATTAACCTCTATATTTCTTTTTCAACAGTCTACTCCGTTTTTTGACATGTTGGACAAGATGGAGGTAAGAAGTGAAATCCGTGAAAAAAGTGAATATATATATAATATTACCTTGTTTGTTTTTATTTTTACTTGGTCAGCTGTCAGCTAGAGTAGCTACTTTGTGCTAAATTGTTTAATTCAACTTTGGTTAAATAGAAAATATAGGTGTGGTAATTGTGTTTGGTGCCTCACCACTCCTCCACTGTCAGTTGCTAACACTGCAACCTCTGACATTTTGACCCTGACCCTTTAGCAGGTTTCTGAGGTGGAGGAAATGAGGCCACAAAGATTAAAGGTCAGAGGGTTTGAAAACATTTAACTAGATTACACCTCAGCTCAGTGCTTGTCTATGTTTCGAACTTGAAGTATTTTCATTGCATGAGGTTGGAGTTCTTCATAAATGTCCTGTATGCATCATTATATATTGTACAGTAGGTCCAAAAGTCTGAAAATACTCTGAAAGTCCCATTTAAACCTGGATTTTAAAGAAATGTTAGAATTTTCAAAACAATAAAACAACAACAAAAACATTTTATACACATGTTATTTAAGTGTCATTGAGGCAAAAAGGGGACATACTAAAACTAAAACATTCTGAAATTAATTTTCGATTTTTAAATAAATTGTTATGCTCATACTATAATGATGAGAATGTATTAAATTAGACAAATGCAAAATAGAAGCATTTTCACTTGGGCTGAGACATTTGGACTGAGTTTTATACATACAGTATAGAAAAGCAAGTGCTGGATTAAGCATTTTTAAACGTCTTACAAGCAAAATAACAACAAAGACCACCACTAAAGAAATAATCCTACCCTCAAATGCATGTGTTCATTCAGATTGTCCAGACAGCCACATAAAAATGTCTGTTGTAAGCATGACTGTGAAGCGTTGTGTGGACTGTCTGCATGTAATTTCTCATATAATGTGGTTGCATGAGCAACATATGCCTCATAACACGCTTCCTGTCACGGCACAATCATCTTTCCAAAACACTGTGAAGATGTCCATTTACAGCATTATCTTATGAAAGTGTTATTTTTACCCCTGCAGGATGATTACATTCCATACCCACGGATAAAGGAGGTACAGCAATCCAAATCTGTTACTATAATAATATATACTTCTAAAAACAGTGGATTGGATTTGGATCTAATTGTTTGATTTCTCTTTCAAAGGTGTTACAGCGGGGTGAGCCATACCCTCAGGTTATCCTGCCTCAGTTCGGGGGTTACTGGATAGAAGATCCCGACGCCTCTGCTGCCATCCCTAACTGGGAGAATGGCTTCTGTGATGAGGAAGATGAAGAAGGAAGCAATTCAGGACAGTTTGGCTACAGACTGGAGAGTAACTATGCCATTCGCGCGTACCGCAAGAACTTTCTGGGCAGGGTGAGAACTCAGTAGTTGTGCAATTACGTTTAGTAAAACCAATCCACATCAGGATGGGGCTATTATACTTGAATGTACCATCAGACAGGGACTTTTGGCAAATATTTGTCTAAGATCATTTTAAACGGATCACTCACAGGTCGTTTTTTATTGTCAGAGCGCTGATAATCAGCAGTCGGTGTAATTTAACGCAGTGTTCTTTATACCGGCGATGGATTTGTTCGCAATTAAACCGCTTTCTCTTATCTGCCGGTCTCAGGAACATCTGAACTTCTACTGCACGGCCAGTAACCATGGCAACCTTGTACTGTCCCTCAGACATGAGGAGGTAAAGGAGCAAGAGTACCTGCACATCATTCTCAGGTAATAACAGCCCTTTCAATCTCTTATGTGTAATTACATGATTGGCACATTTTGAAACGTTTGATTGCATTTTTCTATCAAATTCTCCCTCGCTTAGGACTCCATCAAAGACAATCTATGACAGGATCTCTTTGGCGGGCTTGACTGAGCTCCCCAGTGTCCCTCAGTTAGCAAAGGTAATGATTGTACCCTGCAGAGATGGTTCACGGGCTTTAACCACTTAAAACACCCTGACAGGCCCTTAAGTCTTATTGATTAACTCTAAAGAACAAAAAGTCATTTCTAAAGTGTAAACACAGTTATTTACCAGTATGTCGTCTGCCATTTTAAAGGTTAGACTGATGTGTACGTGCAGTACAAAAAATTTTGTTTTCATTAAATATATCCAAACATTCAAGTACTTGTTTATTTATTCTTCTCACCCCATTGTTTCGTGAGTCTGTCTCACATAATGCAGCTTTGCAAAGAGGCTGTTATTGAAGGATGGAGGAGGTCAAAGTATATTATATTAAAAATATATATTGGAATGACAGTAAACCCACAGCCTGTGTCAGAGTGGAGCTTCACACTTCACATGCAAATGTGGTGTTTCTTACAGGCACAGCAGAAAAAAACTGACTATTTATTTCTAAGGGTCAGATAGAAAACACTTTTGTGTTGTGTGTTTTGTTATGCGAGTGCTTTTGGTATGAAAACAAATAACACCATGTGGAAAAAATATATATAATAATTATAAAAGGTAACTTATGACATCTTTAAAGAATTAAATGAGTGAACCGTAACACAGACTAAGTGGCTGTTTGTGTTTTTGTGTCATGGTTTTCCCACTATAGCTACTATGTGAAGACATTGTAGGTCTGAGGTTTAGTCCTGTGCTGTACCCAAAGGTGAGTTCAAGATTAAGATTTTTATCATTAATGTTGAAATGTTATATTATATTATATGCACTATTTTTTAAAGGTTTGGGGACTAATTTGTTTTTTCAACAAAATTCATGTTTTTATTTGACTCCATTGTTTAAAAGTGTCAGTAAAGACATTTATAAAAACATGTCTTTATTTCTGTATAAAGACAATTATGTTTCTATTTTAAATACATGCTGTTTTTTAACCTTTTATTCATCGAAGAATCTTGAAAAAATGTATTATTGCTTTCATAAAATTATTAAGCAGCACAACTGTTTTTAACATTGATAATAATAAGAAATGTTTCTTAGGCATCAAATCAGCATATTAGAATCATTTCTAAAGGATCATGTAACACTGAAAACTGGAGCAATGGCTGCTGAAAATTAATACGTTATGTTTTCAAATATATTGAACTAGAAAGCAGTTAAATTTTAATGCCATAATGTTTCAGAATAATACTGTTTTACTCTATTTCTAACCAAATTAATGCAGCCTTGGCGAGCAAGCCTTTTTTCAATAACATTTAAAAACCTTAAATATTTGAACAGTAGTTTATAAAAAATATAGATTTATTTTTATTATGCCTTATCATTCCTACAACGCTTTTGCAATTTTTTTAACATATGAATTTTTTTGGTACAAAAAGAAAATCATAAAAATAACAACTTTTAAAATGTAAAAAATAGATATACTGTTTAAAATTAAGACAAAATATTTTTGGGGCCACTATATGTTTCAAATTAAAGTTTTTTTTTTGTTTGTTTTTTTTTATTATATGATGCTTATCCCTCAGATTAGTTTTTATGAAGTCTGTAGGGTATTGCATATTTCATTAACGCAATATTGCTTCTAGCTAAGATGATATTAATGTGTTAGAGAAAAGCCCATTACAGATTTAAAAATAAACAATATGTTTTGCAATGCACAATAACCGTTTTGGCAGGTTGTTTATTAAAGAAAGTATTTTAGTCAGTAGCGAGATTGTTTAAGAGACAAAAACTGAAATCTTGAAACTAAGAAGAGCATAATGATGAAGAGCATATTTTGATATTTGTCTTTGTTTATGTTTGTTTTTTGCAGGGCTCACAATTAATAGTGAATTATGATGAGCATGAGTTAAACAACACCTTCAAGTTTGGTGTCATCTACCAAAAGTTTGGGCAGGTGAGGAAATGATTGTTGAATGTGTGCAGTTCACTGGCCGTTATAAATATCAAAGACTGCCAGACTGAGGTTCTCAAGGACACTTTTATAGAAACTTTCTTATCAAGCTGCTTCGATCTGAATCACCAAAGCAATAAATCAATAAGTTGTTACAGTATGTGAGTTTTTTATCTGTTATTTCCTGTTATCTTTCCACATTTCCTTCCCTTCCTGCTGTTTTCTTCAACGTTTGCCATTCACTAATGTCTTCTGATACTCTCTGATGCCCACAGACCTCAGAGGAGGAGTTGTTTGGGAACAATGAAGAAACTCCAGCATTTACAGAGTTTCTCCGAGTGTTGGGAGACTGTGTAGAGCTGCAGGACTTTAAAGGGTAAAAAAAATAATAATTACAGAGAGAAATAAAAAAAGAAAAATGAATGTGATTTGTTAGGATGTGTGAATATTCTGCTTTCCCACAACCAAAGCATTTAAGAATTAAAATCTTAGATGTTTACTAAGATACTTCTATTATCTATTGAAACCCACAATAATATTTAAAATAATAGTAAGCTTAATATTTATATATATAATCATCATTTATTGGGTACTTTCAATTGGGAGGTGGCTGTCTTGAACCCTAACCCCTAAATTTCAACTTGTGAAAATGATATTGACATTTTTTTTTTTCATTGTTGTTTTTAAAAGTATCTTTTTGATTCTTTTAAAAAGTGAAGTTCAAAAAATATCTTTTTATTTTATATTTTCTTTGTAAATTATGAAACTTTATGTAAAAAATGTCCCGCATTTTCATGTCACTACCAAAACAGTGTATGCTTATTATTGGTGGATACAGTCTCTTTTCAAGGTTAGACAAAGATTTGGGGGGTGAGCATGTCGAATCAATAGACAAATTAGAATGACAAATCTAATTTAGTTGATTAAGGACACTTACTGAATGATAAGTAGCCTCATGAGGTCATTTACCCATGATTGAACAGACTCGTGGCCATAGATGATGTACAGGGACATTGAAGAACATTCTCAGACCTTTTGTGAATAGATGGCGTACTTTATTCATTTCTTAGTTGTGTCAAGGATGTATAGGTAATGCATCCTAGAAATTATTCATCTAAAATGCACTTTTATCCAAAGCGGTTTCTTATGTTGGTTTCCTTTACAGGATCTTGAAATACATTGATACATAACACCTAATAATGAAAAAAAAATATGTGTATTGATATTAAATGATAAATATATAACCTCTATCTTTTTAAACTAAATATATGTTTTATTTTAACTCATTCACATGCATATATGGGCCGTTCTACAGAATTGGTGCAAACTACTGTCCCACAACCAAAAAACACAAAAAGCATTTCAGTATTCAAATCTTAGATTTTTAGTAAGATAATTTTTTTATCTACTGAAACCCCCAATAATGTTTAAGATATCAGTAAGCTTAATATATGTGAAATCATAATTTATTGGGTATTTTCAATTGAGAGGTGGCAGTCCCGAACCCTAGCCCCTAAATTTCAACGTATGAAAATGATATTGAAATAATTTTTGCATTTTATTCCATTGTTTTTAAAAATGTCTCAGATTTTTTTTTAAAAGTGAAGTTCAAAGATGTCACTACCGAAACAATGCATGTTTTAGTCCATTGGCTGAGACTGATTTTAACTACACCCCTACATTTATGATCAGGAAATATTTATGTGTCACTTCCTCTCATAGCTACATGTGAGTAGTAGATAGGTTCTATCATTTTGAGGCAAATATGTTCAAAATCTGAAAAATCTGGGTGTAACTTTAAGGAACGTCACTACCAAACACCTCATTTCGGCAATTAAGCACACTTTTTTGGGAGTTATTCCATAACATTTTGCCACTGTTCAAAGCTGTGCTAGCTAACCATGTGCTGATTAGCATCTTTTAGGTAGGTTCAAAAGTATCTAAAATTGTCACTACCAAAACATTTGGTGGAGTTTCGGTAGTGACATCTTTGGGGTTTTTTTGGGGTGTTAACCCATAAAATTGTCACGACCGAAACATGTCATCATTGTTTCGGTAGTGACAAAAGGGAACACATAAGCCTCATATTTGTAGGAAATAAACAAAAATTTGGTACAGTTATGCAAATTTTTTGTATTTTAGCATGCAAGTTACAATTCTGTAATGTGATGTGGTTGCTACCAAAGCATTACTGTCACTACCGAAACATGGGACGTTTTGTCAAAAATAAAGTAAGATGTTGTAATAGTTTTTGGTTCAATGTATATTCAAACTAATGTATCCTTAACTTTGAAATCAGTATGATCAACTTTTTGCCTTTTACAAAGAAAAATTTGATTCAAAATACAACAAATCTCATGAATTACACTTGAAATATTGTTAAAAATGTAACTGTCATTGATTTACCTCTGCAAAAAATTGTAATAAAATTGCAAAAAAATATATGTACAATGTAGATGTAAGCACAATCTTAATAGGTCAATATAACCCTTCTAATTAAATTATTATTACTGTGTTTCGGTAGTGACAAATTTGGGGAGAGGACACATATTCCAAAACTTTCTGAAAATACAATATGAGAATTAACTGCACAATTACTAGAAATGTGTACCTTGGATATTATACAAATTTTTGGGAAAAACATATTTTTTCAAGACGTTTCCAACTCTGACTTTGGAGCAATTCTGTTGAATGGCCCATATAAAAGGGCAGAATTTGACTTCTCCATGCACAATCCTTAAATTCAAGTCATGCTGTTTCATCAGTAAACACTTGTACTTTTAGTTCATTTTCAATTTTCACTTTGTGTCTTATATTCAGGTTTCGAGGTGGTTTGGATGTGTCTCACGGTCAGACAGGGTCTCAGTCGGTCTACACTGTGTTCAGAGGACAGGAACTCATGTTTCACATCTCCACCAAACTACCCTATACTGAGGGAGACGCGCAGCAGGTGCTCACTATGATCGAAATCTACACAATTCCAACATTGGGACAATTGGTATGCTGACAGTTAGTATTGGTATTTTCCTACAAATAGGTCCAAAGGAAGCGTCACATTGGGAATGACATTGTGGCTGCAGTTTTTCAAGAGGGTCCCACACCTTTTGTGCCCGACATGATCGCTTCCAATTTCCTCCATGCCTTTATTCTAGTTCAAGTGGAAAACCCTGGAACAGATGACACCACATACAAGGTTTGTCATCATTTCTTTTGTAAAATGTTTGAGAAAAAAATTATGTGATTACTGAAAGTGTTTGTGGTAATTCTAACTGTATGCTGAATGGTAATTATATGGTGCAGGTGTCTGTCACAGCCCGTGAAGATGTGCCACAGTTCGGCCCTCATCTTCCCAGTCCACCCATCTTCAAAAAGGTAAATAAGTGCACCACAGCTTCAACACTGCATTATTTTATATTAGTATTTTTGTATTTTTATATTAGTATTGGGCAGCCAGTTTGCTGTCAGATTATTGTTTTTCTGAAGGTCACATTTGCTTGTTACAGGCAAGATTTTGTCACGTCGTTGTCTTTTATGGCTGTTCTTGCATCTTTGTTATATTTGCCGTGTCATTGTATTCTCTCTTAGGGTCCAGAATTCAGAGAGTTTCTGCTGACCAAGCTGATCAATGCAGAACTGGCATGCTACAGGTCAAGCCGATTTGCCAAGCTTGAGGTGAGGAAACAATAGAGCATCATTTATTACCGCAATAAAGTCCTGATGTACAATTGAACAGCTAAAGGCTGATAAGATTCTGCTTTGCCACAATCTCTGAATGGTTAATCCTTACGTTGTATTGGGGGTCTCAGAGACCCCAGGGCCATTTTAAAAATAGCTTCTTGGCTTTTCCTAAACATATGACATTAGATTATAAACCAAACATGATAACTCTTTTCAAACGTCCTTCATTAAAAGTGTAACGTTACTTATTTGGGGTCATAGCATGAATAAATACGATGCATTTTCACATATTACAAGAATTAGAAGGGAAAATAAAGTGATTAATTTAGTTTGTACACTGTACAAAACCATTCAAAAGTTTGGGGGACTGTAAGAATTTTTTTACGTTTTTGAAGTCTCTTACGCTCACTAAGGCTGAATTTATTTGATCAATAATAAAGTAATATTGTAAAATGGTTTTCTAGTTTAATATATTTTAAAGTGTAATTTATTATTGTGATGGCAAAGCTGAATTTTCAGCATCATTACTCCAGTCTTCAGTGTCACATGATCCTTCAGAAATCATTCAAATCGCCAATCCAAACTGTATGCTAATTGTCAATCATCTTTGATGATAGTGGTCCTGACAGAAATATATTTGTGGAAACAGTGATACATTTTTCAGGATTATTTGAATAGAAATTAAAAAACTGCATTTTTAAAATATTTTAAATGCAATTTCTGTCACATTTGATCTATTTAATGCATCCTTGCTGCACAGTGTTGGGGAGTAACTAGTTACATGTAACGGAATTACGTAATTTAATTACAAAATAAAAGTAATTGTAATC